GCACTATCAGAACAAAACGAAAGGATGAGAGAGCGCGACCATTCTAGAGGTGTAAGAAGGCCATTGTCTGGTATACATACCATAATGGCCCAAAGAAAATAGGTAGAATGGAATTGAAAACCAAAGGTTCTTCCAGTGAAGGCAAAATCCACATTGGGGAACGTGAACTTTGTCCAAATCATCGTTTTCTGCTCTGACTTGTACACTAGATTAGCAGGACTTTATGGATATCAGGTAACGAGCTAAGGCTATATAAGTTTAGTTGTCCATGTCATTTGTGAGCTCGGCAGAAAAACAAATGAATAATGGGCCACTGGGCCTGAAAAGGGCTTGGCTGCCGAGTCACCTGGACCTGAGAGCACCCTACCCTCTTCCACCGTTCGCATTATAATGCTATACCTAATACCTGGGAGCAGTATAACGTTTCTCGATTTCTATTCGTTGCCCAAACGAGAGAGAGGATATCGCAACGACACGCGATAATTCATGGGTGAACCAACTTATCCACTTACGGACAAGTACCCTTGCATCACCAAACTAGCAGTTATCTTTCGTCCGAATTGTGTATACACGTAGGTAGGTATATATGCCGAAACACTATTATACCAAGCGCGAAAACTATAATGCGACGCTTATTAATTGCCATCGGGTGGCGTAAATCAAAAGGCCAGACCGTGTAGCGCGAATGAAAATACATCCGGACTGTCGTGGTGGTGGCTCCATGCTTGCGCAGAGGGCCACAAACATTGTCATGTGTACATGTTATATACACGCGTGTCCACGTACGTATATATGAGAAACTGGTAGGGGTGGGGGAGGGGGAGGCGCCTTAGACGGAGGGAGGAAGAGATAGAGGCACATAAATTCAAATTAAGCCCCAGGGAGAGGGATACGGCAGCAGCGGCCGGGAGCGCCGCCGCGCGTTCTCGTTTCTTTTCGCGCTCCCATCCCGCGCGACTGCTATTATACGCCAGCAAAGCGCGCGAGGAGCCGTGACGAATTAATGTGTCCAGAGTGAAGTTTTGCCCTTTTTTTCCCCCCCCCCCTTTATTTTATGTTTTCCTTCGCTCTCCATAATTGTATTGCGCCGACGGCTGAATTGAATTAATTTTCACCCTTTACCTGTGCGTGCCAAGAATTTTGGGGAGAGAGACAAACATTTGTTACGCATATACCTGTGAGAGACAACTCATCTCCTCTTTTTTAAGGATTGACATGTCATGAGCGTACTTATATGTGTATAGTATATACATACTCGCAGTGCGTTAGAAAAAGAGAGTTTTGAAAGCACGGGTGTCTCGCTAAACGTAAACTTGTAAATGACAAAACCACCTCAAAGGAAAAAAGAAAAAAAAAAAAACAGACGGAGTGTGAAGTACATCGCCTATTTTGACGGGGAGTTTATTTTCGTAGAGGAAGAAAAAGTCGCACGAAAAAACTACGAGCGTATAAGAAAAATGGTTACTCGCCTGACGCGTGGGTACTGCCTTGAAGTGGAAGAAAAAAAAATTTTCTTTTTTTTTTTCCGTTTCCTGTCATTAAGTCACAAGCGCTGCACGCTCGAGATATGAAAAATCACCCGTAGCAGAGTGATCAACTATATATATATATTTTTTTTTCCATTTGGTTGCAGAAAGGGAGTCCTCCGCGAGCGTGTCGGGGGTGTCGAGGACGTCATCGTCGACGGTGCCGGCACCACCTCCACCACCACAGCAGCACGATTCCTCGATCGATCCGGACGACGAGCCAGAAACCGACGACACGGGCAGCACGAGCGGCAAGGCACCTTCGCCCATCAATCCCCTGCTGCAGGAGCGCTCGAATTGCGAGGAACTGAGACACGTTACCTGCCAACTGGAGACCAAGGACCTTTGGGACAAATTCAACGAGCTTGGCACCGAGATGATCATCACCAAGACCGGGAGGTGAGTTACGTTTTTTCCCACATTTGAACCCAATGCCCAACGAAAAAACAAAAACAAAAATTTCACTTGTATAACTCCCGGGGAAGCCTCTGTTGTCCTTTGCCGAAACGAACAAACTATCCTTGTGAAAGAAAGAACTTAAAGTTGCGGTGATTCATTAGTTTTACTTGTTATTTGTCAATGAAATAAACGAGGCTGGTGCAACCCCCCACGCCTTTCTCGAGGCAATAAAAATCATCGACCTGGACCGTATAAGGGAGAGAGAGAGAGATAATGAAAGAGAGCCTACACACACACGTCGCGCTCGAGGGAGCAAAAAGGGGTCAGGCTGTTAAATCTCGATCTCCCAATTTATCAGCTCGTCGAATAGCGCGAGGACTAGAAGAGCGATTGCGCGCTGGACGCCCCGTGTATATACATGTACATGCAATTGATGGGCTCGGTAAAAGGGTTGCTCCGGATAATTCCCCGCGGAACGAAGCGCGGAGCGTTCCATCATTGTGTCCCCAGCGCGTCTGCCGTCGACTTTGAAGGTATACGCGATGTTGTCCTTGGACCCTTTTTTTAGGGGGAGAGGGGCCGAGGTTCGTTTGTCTATTCGACTGCTTTTATGGAATTGAATCCTTGTCCCCCCCCCCCTTTCCCCTTCTATAACGGAGTATTAATCGTGGAATTCACGGTTTGCTAAATAATTTCTCCGCAACCAGTTTTCATATATCCCGAAAGCAAAAATGACAACTGCCGGTTCACTGCCAACGTGTAAGTAGATATGTTCATGTTAATAATAATAAAAAAAAAAAAAAAAAAAAATTAAAAAGTGCCTGCACTGCACAGTCTATCTAATCCGAATACGTTATTTTATCCTTCCGAGATGGTCCGGTCGAGGTAGCTCTAACGCCTACCATTCACACGGATGACTCCCCTCTACGTATAATACGACCGATGGGGACCGGCACGCGTCGCCCATAGCGCGGATTCAATCAGTAAACGAGCAACGATACAACACCCACGAGACGTGTCTTGATACTCTATTTTTCTCCCTCTCTCTTGTATACGATGGTAGGGGGGGGTATCGTGTGATTATAGTATATACATTCTCTCCCCTACGGTTCCCACCTACTCTTTTCTTCGACGTATATAGTATCTACCTCTATACACACAGTGGGGCAAGAGGACTAGTTAGTTGTTGGGGGTGGCTGGTTTTGTTACCCGACAGAAGGGGGCTTGGAAGGGGTGATGTGCAGCGTGGCCAAACGACTTTATTTGGGGGTTGTAGAGGGTGGGACCGGAGTCGGACGGAAAAATTTATCGCGTTCTTAAACGTTGTCAAAATAACCGAACGGGTGCGTGATGAATCGACGCTGGGAATACTCAACGCACGCCTACGATGATTCTTCTTCACGGGGGGGGAAAAAAAAAAAAAGAAATCTTGGTCAATAACTTGATGCGATATCGCTCGACACATATACGGAACCATCATAAATATTTGAGGTAGCTCCTTGGGACCGAACTCCCGCACGCGAGCTTCGTGTTTTCTCTGCATTCCAAAGTGAGCAAAATGGAAAAAAAAAGACCCGCGCGTTGTACATGTATGGAATAAGCTTCTCGCGTACACGTTGGCGCTGAAAAAACGACGAGGCGCCGGATAAGATCGCCCCCCCATCTCTGCGACCGGGAAAAATCCAGAAGCAGAGTGTGTACACACGCCACAGAGCTACACGCTTAATTGGGCTTCCTCGCTCGCGAAGGCCACTTTCCTCCCGGGGGAATATCCTCGACAACCCCCCGGCTGCAATTAGATCTTCGGCCTACGTGTATAGCTGCCACCGGTGGAAACAGTAGCAACACTGGTCGTCGCTCCCTTTGGATGTCAACTTACGGCCTCCCCAACAAACCGTGTGTATACATACACCCACCATCGCAGCTCCTATTCACATATATACTCCTTCTCGCCTGTGGGAGTGAGAACAAAGTGATAATGAACTACTGTACTACTACATAATACCGATACACCCGAGGGGTCGGGGCAAAAAGTGTATCGAGGCCTAATTTGATGTTTGATGTACGTTTTAATACACTTTACGGGCGCGTGGTATATATAACTGCAGGATTTCTTTTCTCGTTTGGTTGATTGCTGGGCCGTTTTCTCTCTCAACCTGTGGCTTTTTTGCGCACCGTAACGACTCCGAGTGGCTTTTGCGAACTACGGTACCTATTTCTTTGGGAGGGGTAGGGGAAAGGTTTTTTTAGTACGGGTGACTGATAAACTCTGCGTTGGACCGCGAAAACGTCACCGTCGTCCCTTTCGCCACACCAATCGCCCCCCCCCCCCCTGTGACATGTCTCTCGGTCTTCTTTTTGTCTCTCCGTGGGCTGCGTCGATTCATTAACAAAGGCCGTTTTGATGAATAAAAGCATTACTCAGTCACTCGTTGCTACAATATATACGTATATACACCATACATGTATGCATTTGTATACAGATATACAGGAGACGAGAGAGAGAGAGAGGGCACTTGAATGCATACCTATATATGTATATATGTGTACCGGGACATATTCAACGCAGAAGTAGCAGTAGGAGCAACAGCAACAGTAAAGAGTCAGCATGGCATCAGAGGCAGAGACGATGAATCAGGAGATAAGATCGGCGGGTGTCCTCGCGTTTTAGTGATCGGCCCAGCGGGATGTCCGACGCGGTATTAATGCCTCGCCTCCGACGTTAAACTCACTACCTCCTCCCTCCGTCTATCTTTCTTATTTCGAGAACCTCACGTGTATACCTATACAAATATATATATATATATGCATTTGGTTGCAGAAAGGGAGTCCTCCGCGAGCGTGTCGGGGGTGTCGAGGACGTCATCGTCGACGGTGCCGGCACCACCTCCACCACCACAGCAGCACGATTCCTCGATCGATCCGGACGACGAGCCAGAAACCGACGACACGGGCAGCACGAGCGGCAAGGCACCTTCGCCCATCAATCCCCTGCTGCAGGAGCGCTCGAATTGCGAGGAACTGAGACACGTTACCTGCCAACTGGAGACCAAGGACCTTTGGGACAAATTCAACGAGCTTGGCACCGAGATGATCATCACCAAGACCGGGAGGTGAGTTACGTTTTTTCCCACATTTGAACCCAATGCCCAACGAAAAAACAAAAACAAAAATTTCACTTGTATAACTCCCGGGGAAGCCTCTGTTGTCCTTTGCCGAAACGAACAAACTATCCTTGTGAAAGAAAGAACTTAAAGTTGCGGTGATTCATTAGTTTTACTTGTTATTTGTCAATGAAATAAACGAGGCTGGTGCAACCCCCCACGCCTTTCTCGAGGCAATAAAAATCATCGACCTGGACCGTATAAGGGAGAGAGAGAGAGATAATGAAAGAGAGCCTACACACACACGTCGCGCTCGAGGGAGCAAAAAGGGGTCAGGCTGTTAAATCTCGATCTCCCAATTTATCAGCTCGTCGAATAGCGCGAGGACTAGAAGAGCGATTGCGCGCTGGACGCCCCGTGTATATACATGTACATGCAATTGATGGGCTCGGTAAAAGGGTTGCTCCGGATAATTCCCCGCGGAACGAAGCGCGGAGCGTTCCATCATTGTGTCCCCAGCGCGTCTGCCGTCGACTTTGAAGGTATACGCGATGTTGTCCTTGGACCCTTTTTTTAGGGGGAGAGGGGCCGAGGTTCGTTTGTCTATTCGACTGCTTTTATGGAATTGAATCCTTGTCCCCCCCCCCCTTTCCCCTTCTATAACGGAGTATTAATCGTGGAATTCACGGTTTGCTAAATAATTTCTCCGCAACCAGTTTTCATATATCCCGAAAGCAAAAATGACAACTGCCGGTTCACTGCCAACGTGTAAGTAGATATGTTCATGTTAATAATAATAAAAAAAAAAAAAAAAAAAAAAAAAAAAAAAAAAAAAAAGTCTCGAGCACCACTTGATCATCCAAATCGTTGACAGTCAACCGGGAGCTTACACCGAATCCAACATAATCAAAGACAAGCTTCATCAACTAATGCACATGTCCCATAAATCACCATCACCAATACAGCAGATGCTTCCATTAAATATATACGTGCATAATAAAACGGGCCTTTGGAGCAACGAGGCGTAAAAATTACTCGCGCTCGAGCAGCTTTCCTAAAATCCATCCCATACACGCGTGAAGGGCACGCGTACAGCAAAGCACGGGCTTTCCTATGAGGCATCGCGCGTATAACTCTCTCGCAAGCTCCACCGAGCGTATACCTATACGCGCGTACACACGGCGGCGAAATTTTGCGAGCGTGGGACATTATTCGAGTTTCGCTTCACAAAGCTATGACCAATCTTGCTAATGGGCCGCTCGCTCGCGCGATCCCTTCGCGAAATTCTTCCCGTCCTCTCCCGCACGAAATGGCCCTCTCCTCCCCTCTTGTATCCGCTCCCTCCTCTCCCTTTCCACTCATCCCATGAATATTTATTTCCACCGACTCGTTTCATTTTGGCAAAAACTAATAAATTCTTGATGACCCGACCGAACTCCTTCTCTCCTCTCCTTCGGCTTTCACACGCTCCGCCGTTTCGCGTCCCGTGCTTTTTCGTTGTTTCGTTTTGAATATGGAAGCGAGGACGCGAATACAAATCCACGCGCGCGACAGACTCACTGCGTGTGCCACCACAGTGCTGTCGATCGATGAGCCACTGTACCCCACATACAGAGTATATTATGTACACTGTCGATTGTTGTACACTCTACACGGTAACGATACTGCTATCGGCCCTTCTGCAGTGTGCCAATAGCGAGAGAACAGTCTTTGTTTAATTAAAATTCCAATAGCTCGCTCCAGCTGATTAAAGCCTCCCCCTTCCCCCTCACCCCGTGTGCACATGTATACGCGTGTGGGTTTCATTTGAGCGTCCAAAGGCCGTTTCGATTTTGTTGTGACAAAAAAGAAGTATAGGTATATACACACCGCCAGATGTGTATGAAAACGAAGTGACGTAATGACGCTTGGAATTACGAAACGCGCGTTCATTCGTCACGTCACGTGGTGAGTCCCAGAAATTACGGGGGATAAATATTGATCCGAGACCTTATTTCTTCTTTCTTTCTCTCCCGAATACATTATTTTTCCAGCCACAAATCACCGCTATCAACATTAATTCTCCCACTCAGAGGAGGCAATGCTGAGCGCGCGCGTGATTATTAACTTCTTTCAGCTGTTTAATCTCAAATAACAGATAAAGCCGGGCGGCCTTTACGATCGGCCGTATAAGCTCCCGAGCAAACAAACCCCGTCGGCCGCGCGTATAAAATTTTTCCTCAAAATGATTTCATCGCTCCGACGCGCGCCCGTGGACGCGTATAAATAGGATCGGCCTGTCATAGTCCACAGGGGCAACAGAACGAAAAAAAAAAAAAAAAAAACGGGATATTAGAACCAAGAAAGTGAACGACATAATTGTACTGATATTATACTGACAAGTGAAACGCGGATGTGCTGGTTCGTGTCGTGTTGATGTATATATATATTTTGTTTTTGGTTGATTGGTTTGCTTCGTCAACGAGAAGAGAGAAAATCTATCACGAATTGCTCCAATGATTGAACAGTGACAATATACATATATAATATTATATTAACCGGTGAGAGCAGACTGCAGAGTGCGATAATATAATATACTGGAGGAGACAGGGATTCAAGGTCGCCCGGCTGCATGGGATGTTAAAGGGGGTGTGCGCCGGAAGGTACGTGTGTTG